CATATTTGGGACTCTCTGCTCGTGTACTATAGCTATGTTTCCGGACTCTTCTGGTACTGTCTAGGACAATCCGTACTACTCCAGAACGGTCTAGACAGGTCTATGCCTTACTCATCTCTTACTCATCCTATGGTGCGATACGTCGCAATTCTTTCACCATCGTATTATTCATCGCACTATGGTACATGTGACTAACCACTCTTCGATTAGTCATGGACACTTCTCTGTAGTATATAAGGACTTCAGATTGCGTCCTCCCTCTTCAGTCTTTCCTTACTGACTGAAGAGTGAGTACTTCATTATATCTACCTCTCACTTGTAGTTACTTACTTAACCTTTGTAGTCTTGCTTCGACTCTAGGTACAGTTGGTTACTGCAATATAGTCTTTCCTTACTGACTGAAGATCTTGCTTCGACTCTAGTCGGATCTAATCTTTGTCTTCACAGCCCCGAGTTTATCACACCATCAAGTTGTCCTGTCAACATCAAGGTCTGCAAAGTGCACCGAGCGCATTCAAGTAGCAACAGAGTTACCGTTTCATCTACACCCGAATGAATCTAAGAAATATGACTTGTCAGATGAATAGAACGCACACAATGAATGTACTCGGCTATCCTCACATTGACGGTGGCCAGCTGAGGCCGCGATAACTTCGCTCCCAACACGTCCATGACAGGTCCGCTCATCGCCGGTCCCTTAACTATGATGTCGTGGCAAATGATTTTTGTGGTATTCGGAAAGGCCAGAATCAATCGGCACAGATCTATACAGGCCGACAGGGAGAGATAGCCCAGCTCTAGAGTTCGAATGTTCTGGCCGTACCGGTGGTAGCACCAGAGGTGGGATGTGTGGAGACGTACAGTAGGTTGACCTTCTTCATGGTAGTATCGTTCGAGTTTGCGCGAGACGAACGAGAGGGTAGAGAGGTTGGGAAGCATGTGAAGCGGAGGAAGGTGCGGAACGTCGACGGGGGAAATGGTGAGAGACCGTACGTGCTCTCGGAGCCGTAATCCGGTATCTGTTCGAAGGAAGTCGTAGAAAGCGAAGGCCTTGTCCCTGCTGTTGAGAGAGATATGATTGATCATGACCAGAAGACTGCGAGAGTGGAGCTGGCGACAGGTGAGGGAAAAGCTATGTAGGAGGTCGAAATCATGACAAGCTTGGTCCACAACACTCTCTATGAGTTCCCAGGGGAGTACGGGAGACATCGCAAGTCGAAGTAGAGGACGAGCAAGGGAGGAGCAAGCCTCTAGTAGAGCAGGAGTCTGAAGGGGGACCCGCACTTGAGGCGCGTCGCGAGTGTCCACGGACCACCACGATGCAAGGATACATGCGGCTGAGGGGAGGCTGGGCACAATCAGTCGCGTGTTGAACGTGGGAAGGACCGAAAGCCTCTGAATTGAAGGTTCAGTAAAAACGCGTGCGCGGCGATGGAAGCAACTCCACCGCTCAAGAACACACTGGTTGACGATACGTTCTAGCAAGTACCCGTGTATTCCGTGCGCTACACAGCAAAGCGTGCCCTCGTTCACGTGCGGTTCAACCGCCCTAAGCGACAGACCAAAGAATGGAAAGACCAGAGGACATGAAACATTCGTATGATATGCAATGGCAGAAGCCTTAACGATGGCACATGCATCTGTGTTTTACACCCCGCCGTACCTGATCATCTTGGGAGACATCTCTTCTGGTCGTCCGCCCCTCCTTCCCTCGACTGCCTGCTCAACCGTCTCCGACGATCTCATATACGGCCTCCTCGAAGATCTCCATGTCCCGTGAGACTCGCCTTCGAGATGTTTAGCGACAGAATGGGCCACTCCGTACACGCTCGTGGTCAAAGTGAGCAGCCTCTCCGCCAGGCCCTTGCTCCCTACGCGACTCGCGAGCTTTGTAAGCACGGCCGGACTCGTGACCTGGTTGTACAGGTCGGGGCCTACCGAAGAAACGAACTCGACACCGACCATGGGAACCTTGCCGTGCAAGTCGAGGATTGTGTCCTCCGAAGTAATTGAGAGTGGCGAAGCTCTGTAGACCTAGGGCTTGAGCAGGAGCAGACGCCTAACCAATAGCGTCTGCCCTCAAGACAGCGGCTGCGCATTTCCAGCCCGCCGCGCGCAGCGTGTCCGTGAGCTCTTCACGCCCGATGACGATGCTCAGCACAACCTTGTGATATTGAGATGAGACAGCTTCCTGCTCAGGAAAGGAACCCACCGCGCACTTTTGCATCTGCGACCTATAAGCGACTGATCCCTATCTTTGTTGGCCGCCTTGCGCGCCTGTCGAGCACTGGGACAGGGACAAGATCTACGGTGTGGTGGATGCTCTCCGGTGTCCTTCCCGGGCGCAGCTGCCTCAGCGTCACTCCCGTTCGCTTGGCCAACTTGACAACAAGGAAGGTGTCGACGATCGCGTGCATGAGGCCGTGTGCGACTCCGCGGTTTGGTTGATGCGCCAGGGGCGCCAAGCGTGTCGTCCGAGCAGGCCCATACCATCCGGAAGGGATGGAGGGTGACTCGGACTCGACCCATGTCACCTGTACTGAACGGAGATACGGAGCTAGGAGAAGCCCGAGCTCCGGCTCGGCCGCTTTCATGCCCCTGGCATAATGCCGATGCACAAGAGCAGGAAGACGCAACGGGCGAAACCTTACCGTAACATCCTAGCCAGTATGGAATAGGTACGGGCGAATGCGACGTCGTCCGAGAACAAAGGTGCAACGTACTCAAAGGAGGCGAGGGACTGCGTAGTGAGATCGTCCATAACCCAATCGAAGTTCACAGGATCGCATTGATCGGGCTTGAGCTAAGGCGTCGCCGACTTGAAGAGTATAGGAATTGCCGCTATCCTCCTCCGTTGAGTCACAGCTCTGAGTTGCATCGAGGAACTGGATACATACCTCTTCGCTGGCCAATGTGAAGAATTCGTCATCCATAGACACATTGGTAGAGATGCCACCGCAAACCACGAGAGTGATCCACGGCGTGGTAGCTAGTCTAATTGGAAGGTTCGCAGCATCAGTCATTGCTGCGAGTATGTATAAGCAACACTGGCACGTCCTGTTGCATAGCTAACGCTTATCAATAGCACAGCCTCCTGTAAATATTGTGGGCTTTGCCGCCGGAGTGAGCGCCCGGCCCCGAAATGATGGGACGCCTCCGAGCACGTCCACTCCTCCAGAGATGGGCGAGGGACTGATGACACCGGGGGTCAAGCGTGAGAGAGTCTAGGGTTTCCCTACCGATTGCATGTCATAACTTCAGGCATTGTAGAATTCACTAGAGCCAGAACTCTGGAAACTGAAATAGAGAGAAAGCCTGAGCCATTAGAAGAAGTCACCGCTGCCGACTTTCGGGGTCCTGGGGTCAAGCACATCTCTGCACTCCTCCACGTTCAATGATAAATTCTTGTCTCTCCGACGAGCTCGATGCTTGCATCGTCATCTCGCCATGCTCTAAAAAGGGCCCGAGATAGTATTCTCCAGGCAGCGGCAGAGTTAGCGTGTCGTCCACACAATGTATGTCGGTCACCGAATGTCTCGTACACCTGGCGTATCACTCACGTCCGTCCGACACGAATGGCGAAGACATGCTGGCACCGCTCCCTATCTGACTTCAACTGATCTCAGATCAACCTATGAGAGCCCACACCACCGATTCGCTGTGGGCGCGGACACCAACTTCCGCGGCCCGCTCGCCCGCTACAACATGATGCTCGCCTCGCAACTCGACCGCGAGAGGACGCACGTCGTTTTCACTAGGCGACGCATGAAGACGGAGGGCGTCAAGCCGGACAGGTCGACGTACAACTGTCTGCTGCAGGCGTATGTCCAGGAGCGGTTGTACGCGGAGGCGAGGGGCATCTTCGAGGATATGGTGGCTATGGGCATGCACCCTGACAAACAATCTTTCCACTATCTCATGGAGGTGCGTGACTTGTTTTAACGCAACATCCGCACGCGGCCATGCATGGCTGCTCCCGAACGTTAAGAGCTTGAAGGGGGAATATGGAACCATTGTATCTGACATGCACGCCGTCCTCTCGTAGACATTAAGACCTCATGAGCAAAGTGCCATATTCGATGTGATCAAGATGATGGGGGAATGGAGTGTCCTGCCGAACGAATATACATACAAGATTATCACCACTCGTTTCGCGGAGACCCAACGGCTAGAAGTCGCCTTGCAATTCCTCGCGAAACTCGGACCCGCTGGGCTTTTCCCCGCATTGAAGACGGCCATCTCTGTCATCACGTGTGCTGCCGGGGGACCTTGGCTTCCCTCAGCTTGCGCTGGATCTCGCTGACCCCTATGAGTCGCATCCGTACGAGCACCACTTCGCGCCTGTCGTCGAGGCGATGTACGCCCGCAGCGAAATCAAGGAGCCGTTCATACTCCTCGATTTCAGGCGCAAGAATGACATGGCGCCTACACTCGATACCGCGTCGCTTGTCCTCGCAATCATCTCCAAGGATACCGACACGGTCGACGGGGGCAAGCTCGAGGAGATTCGTGAAAATGGCGAGGTGGTCGACCCTGTTGCACTCAACGTCGTCATCCAGACGGCTGTTGCGCTCAAGGCCCTCCAGCGCGCCGTCTGCACCTGCAAGGCGGCGGCGCAAGTGGGACTCAAGCCCAACGTCGACACGTTCAACCTGCTTCTTGGTAGCTGCATCTACGCGCGTCATTGCCAGCTTGGAGACCGGTTTCTGTCGGACTTGAAGAACACGAGGGTCAAGGTGGACGTGAGGACGTACAAGCACATGATGCTCCTGTGCCTGACGCGGATGACGTACGAGGACGCGTTCTTCTACCTGGAGGAGATGAAGGCGCTCCGGATGGTCCCCCCTCTCGCGGTCTACGAGGCTATCATCCGCAAGCTCGTCTCTGTTGGCGCTGACGGTGCTCGCGTTCTTTGTGTACTTCGGACATCTCTGATGGAGAAAGTCGGAAGCGTGGCGGTGAGGAGTCGCTTAGGTGCGTGTGTTCTTCGTGAATGCGCAATACGGGGGCAGAGCAGGATAGGATAGCTGAGTGACTCATGGAGAGCAGAGTACATGAAATGAATCCAAGTCGTAATAATTTACTCCCCAAACGCTGCGACCAGGCCACCGCTGGAAGCAGGCATGCCATGTTGCGCTAGCCGTTATTGATACTCCGCGCGAATCCCACTCTCCCGGAATAGTCGAAGACCGAGTACCCTGTCGAAAACGGCAGTCAGACCACGCTGGTAGGCAGTTGAATCGAGCACGCTTGTATGCGCGCGGCTTACAGGATTTCAAAAACTCGTCTCCTATGATCGCGAGGTTCTGCGGGAAGCCGTTGCCCAGCGCGAGGATTCCTCCGACGCAGTCGCTACGTCACCCTCGCCGTCAGCAGCCACATTGGCAGGTCTGGCGTAGATCACCTACTTCGAGTCAACGTCGGTCCGCCCCAGATTGAAGTCGCTGGGATAGATTGAGAACGTTTCGCCGTTCAGGATGAGGGCTACAGTCACTGTCGTGTCGCATGGGACGGTATAGAACCCTGTCGTATTATTATTAGCTACGGAATCAAGTATTCTGGTGAGCCGCTTGCCCGCTCCGTATTGCATCGCCGATGCTGATCCTGGTATCTGTCCCGGAACAGTTCGAGTAGATTCAGATGCGGGTTCGATGTGCACGTACCAGGGCGTAAAAATCGTCCGCTACCCCGCTGGGCAGGTATATCAACGTCGTTCCAGTGTCGATTGCCTGCGACGAAGGTCCTGTTCAGTACGCGGCTAGCTAGCGACTGTGCACCTTACCGCCGTGAGGTTCGCAGAAACGGACAGCGTCTTGTTCACTGACAGCCCGTCCATGGCGATCGACCAGTACGTCTGCGCTTGCTGTGAGCTCCAGCTACCTTACAATATGTTCACCGGTGACTCACGCGCGAGATCACTGAATTCCACCTAACAGGGCCCATCGCCTTCGTCGCGTCGTAGCACCCGAAGCACACCTGCGAGCCCGTCTCGCGCGTGCGGGTGAGGTGCACAGAGAAGACGCTCTGGGCGAGCTGCTTCTGGGCGAGGAGGTTCTCGAAGAAGGTCGCCTTGCCCGACTGTGCGATGCTCCCGAACGCCATGCCAAGCAGCCCGCTGTTCGGCTCGTCGTTGAGGTCCGAGGACTCCTTGCGCACGGCGCAGAACGTCTGCCCGCTGACGGACGCCGTGCCGAGCCCGACGATATCCGTCGCGAGCGTGCCCGAGACTTTGCCCGAGCCCTGTTCTCGTATGGTCAGCACTGTCTACTTCTAGCATTGGGGCTGACGAATGGACGCACGTAGGTTATGGCACAGCGCGTCGTAGACCGCCTGAACGTCGAGCTCTGCTTGGAGAAAAACTGGTCGTTCCCGCATCCCTGGCACCCCTCCGGCACCCACAGGTCCGCGGACCCGGTGTCGATGTCGACGGTCAAGCTCTGGGGCGGGGAGCCAAAGTTGAGCGGGCCGTAGTAGAGGACGTCCATCGCACCCGAGATGTAGTCCTTGAGCGGCATCTGGATCGTCCCGGGCGCCATGGGGGGCATGCCGATGATGTTCGGGGTGTCGTCGCCGGGGCCGGTGAGGGCGTGGAGGAGCTTTGGGGTGGACGAGGGCGCGGATGGGGAATCAGGGTCGGACGAGTCGGGCTGGGAGGGCGACGCCTGGATGTTGGTTAGGAGCGCTCCGCTGGTGTCTGGGGGTACGAATTGGGGGTAGCCGGCTTCGGGGTGGGTCTCTGGGTGGACGTCGATGCCTTGGAGGAACTGCTGGGCTTTGGCGTACTTGTAGAAGATGGCGTTGAGCTCGCGCGTCTGGTTCGCTGTCAGTACACGGGTTAGGGTAGGGTTGCGCGGGACGTACGACAGGGGCCGGGTTGAAGACGGTCACGTTCCCGATGGCTTGTGTGCCCGTCATCGTTGTGTTTTCGGGCTGTCTGACATCTATGTGGAAAGTGGTCGCAGCATGACGGACCGGCGTTGCATAGACGGGGAGTGCGCGAAGGAACGACAGGGTGCTGATCAGCAAAACAAGATAAGACAACATGACGAGAGCGGTGTGCGCCAGGCACCACCGAAGGAAAGCAAGAGGGAGAACTGGAGAAGAGAGCGAAACGGAGGCATTATGAGGCCATGTCGGAAGCTCAGAGGCTGACTGGATGTCCGCGATCCTGAACGCCTGCCATATTCGGAGCACTCGAAGAAAGGGAGGATCGAGATCAAGATCTGAGCATCAGCCGAGTTGGATCGAGCTTGGCAACTGGTTGACCTTACTGCGCTCTTCACACATCCTCATCCCCAGGTTTTGCAATGACCCGGGTCTGTCCCAGATCGACTCCCGATGGGACGACGCAGTGGGCTCTGTGCGGCCTGAGGCTGAGCTGTCGGATTGATACTGCACATCTCGGCGCATGGTCCTGGGCGTCTTTGAGCTTTCATCGTGACCACAACCTCTCGTAACTCTGCCGCCAGTGAGTCTGCTCAAAGTGCGCTCACTGTGACAGGCAGCAAGATCAGACGGGAGGCGAATTGAGGCGCCATGTCAGCCTCTGCTCTCCAACGGCGGTCATGCTCGGGCGGGAGCGTGTTCATCGGGCCTATATTCCTCTTATCCTGTGCTGCCTTCGCCGTCTTGCTTGGCGTCCGGCCCTACCTCCGCCTGGCCACCAACGAACCTCGTCGCGCCCTGCGCAACCCGTACCACGATGCGTACTGGATATGCTCTTCTCCCTCTCGGGTCCCTCCTCATCCCTCTGGCTAGGGCCGACTATTTCTTCAAAACGTCGTACACCGGGCGCGACTTCCTCGAGCACTGGACTTGGCAGACCCTAGATGACCCCACACACGGACGCGTCGACTACGTTGACCAAGCTACTGCATTACAACGCAACCTCTCGTTCGGTAAGCACGCTTTGCGCATGCCCTAAACTGTCGCTAGTGAACTCCGTGCCGCAGCGTCCGACAGCAAGTTCGTGATGCGCGCCGATTCAATCAACGTTGTGCCCGCATCCGCGCCCCGAGGACGGAGCAGCGTACGCATCCAATCCGTCGAGGCGTTTTCCGAAGCGGTGATCATCCTTGACCTGCAACACATGCCCGAGGGATGCGCGACTTGGCCCGCTTTCTGGTCCTTGAGCCAGGCAGGACCATGGCCAAAAGGAGGCGAGATCGATATCATTGAAGGTATGGCCGCAACGCCGCCGTCACGGACGGGTGCTCAAACCATTTGTGCAGGCGTCAACCTGAGCGACGAGAATCTCTCGTCCCTCCACACGTCCCCGAGCTGCACGATGGCGCCGCGCCGTAGGATGTCCGGGTAAGACACTCCTGCCATCTCTTCACGCGGCGACGTCTGACTAGGGCGGTCCGGGAAAAACAACCAGAATCGCGTCCTCCCTCGACTGCGACACCAACGTCAACTCCAACCAAGGCTGCGGCGTGCAGTACGCCGACCCGCTTTCGTACGGCGCGCTCTTCAATCAATACGACGGAGGGTACTACGTGATCGTGCGCACCAAGTACGAGGGCGTCAGCGTCTGGTTCTGGAACCGCTGGGACCCCGCCGTGCCCTGGGAGGTGAAGCTCCCGCCGACGACGGACCTGTTCGGGCCCGCGAGGGTGTTCCCCACCGCGCTGTGGGGCGTGCCGGATGCGAAGTTCGAGTTCGGGAGCAATTGCGACTACGAGGAGCACTTCGACGCGCACAACCTGATCTTCGACTTGACGTTCTGTGTCAGTGTGCTACGAATTGCGGCACGGGGTTTATTGAGCGCTGACTGCGGCCTGTTTGTATTAGGGCGACTGGGCAGGAAACACCTACGCGACTTCTGGCTGTCCGGGTACAAGCTGCGTTGACTGTGAGTTTTCGTATAGGGGCTATGTGCAGAGGCTCATGGACGCTTCTCTCTCGTAGACGTGAACAACAACCCGGCGGCGTTCCAGAACGCGTACTGGGAGGTCAACGCGATGCACATATACACGCGTCTAGGCGCATGAATCACTCGTGGATGTCCGTGAACTGTATACTATTGTCATGCTCACCCTATCGCAACCCGATTGATGTCCTATTAATTCTGTTTTGTAAATGATTCTAGAATACTTCTCAAGGGAGTCCTTCCCCCGTTTCTTCGCCCACTCTTCGAAGGAGGTCCTCGCGAAGGGCATGGTGATTTTAAGGAGGCCGCATACGGGATCGTCAAAGACTATTGAATATGAAGTTGAGGTAGGGAGGTGCTCGACGACCAGAAGAGGCGACTATCGCGAAGAGTGTGTATACTTGGAACATGCCCCGCTTTCAGGTAGGCTTGTTGTACCAGAGAAGATGTAAGTGCCCCCGCTTCATCTCTACCGTCGCATGTCGTGGGAGGGCCAGGCGCTCCCTTGACTGCTCAACTCTTGTGTCTGTCACAAAGCTGTGGCCGAGTATGAGTATGCGATCCTTGACAGAATACGGATACTGCAAGGGGATGACAAGATCCATCGTCAAACTTGGAAGAGTGGACGTGGAGTCGTCCGGTCCTGCGACCCACCGAACGGTAGGCGTATCATTTCCTGCCTCGAAGGACCCTTTCCACTGGTAACACAGCCCGCTGTCTACTTACACTGCACCTAGGACGCTGTCAATCTTCAAGAATCCCCCTATACACGGGTGCAGTGCAGACTCACGCCGGCTGTGCTACCCGAAAGCTATGTGCCATGTGACCAACCATCTCTCGGACTTGCAATGCAACTGGACATTTTACTTTGCAGGAATCGGGTTATGTCCGGACCGACGACATAGCTCCGCATACCTTATCCGGGATGCTCTGCCAGCCGTGCCCCGACCGATAAATGAGCGAAGCTTAACTTGCATGCATCACCAAACACGTGTCTAAATTGAGCCTTCTTCGATCCTATGCATGCTGTGCTTCTCGCGCTCAACATGATACTCGGGTGCTTAGCAGAGTGCCCTCCGCCCCATGGTTCCTCGCAACATCGTGAAGCTAAGTAGTGAGTACGACGCTCCCTCCTCTCGGTCTGCCAACCATTTCACGTACTATCTAGTCCTGCGTTCTCCACTCTCAATGTCACTCGTACTTCCCTGGGAAGTCCTTGAAAGGGTCATTGACCACTTCGTCATCCTGCGCAGCTTTTCTCTCACCTGTCGGCAGCTACGTCCTCGTACTCTCTTGTTCATGATGGAGAGTTGTCATTTCCACGCGAAGGATGAGGTTTTCGCCTTCTGCGACTTCCTCCAAGCGAAGAGCGAATTTCTATCCCTCATACAATCACTCTTTGTATGCCCCATCGACTTTCTACCCTTCCCCCTCATCAGAATCCTTCCCAACATTTCCACACTCCGATTCATCATCCGTAGATTTGGGGAGTACGCGCGTCCAGCAGATCGGCCTGTGGTGGATCTCCACCCATCGGCCCTCAGCTGCTACCGAGTGTACGGAGAGCGCATTCGAACCTTATCGCTCGACCATCTCTCCTTCACGACATATTCGGACTTTTTCCGCCTGGTTCTCGCCTTTCCAAATGCGACGGAGATCATTTGTCAGGATGTCCTAGTCAAGATCCCGCCGACGAACGCATCGGCCATTGACGTGGTGAAACGCAAGTTATCCAAACAACCTCGATTGGAGACCATCAAAGTGAGCATGGATGGGAAATTTCAGCAGTGTTTGCTTGGAATGTCTGACGGCACCTTCATAGATTTATTCTGGCGTAGATGAAACGGTAACTCTGTTGCTACTTGAATGCGCTCGGTGCACTTTGCAGACCTTAATGTTGACAGGACAACTTGATGGTGCGTGGTCTGGCTAGCAATCAATCCGCAACTGACCTCTGACTCAGACATTCCCCCCGCTTTCACGATGCCGTCTCAATGGAAGCGGTTGCATACCCTTACAATTGAATTGGAGCTTGGCGAAGGGGCGGATATTATAGAGGAAGTGACCGAATTTCTCAAGAATTTCCGCCCCCCAAGTCTAGAGGACGTCTCTGTGCACTTCCTTGTGACCCATCGAGGCATCCTCAATCAGCGGTTTAGAGGCAAGAATTTGCAAAACACCAACTGGATTGATGTATGCTCGAAGCTGGAAGCGGCCCTCTCCACATTCTGTCGACAGCGGCTGTCGTTCCTGGTATCATCCTCGGTGACTGCCAGGCAGCGTCTTTGGATTCAAGAGCTTGGTCAACTTTTTCCGGCATTGCGTGATAGCGAGAAACTGATCGTTGCATGCAAATCAAGTAAGCTTGAACTTTTCTGACTTCGGATGTGCTGTCCATGGCACGGCTGACCAACTCCTTAGTCGCTGCAGTCGGCCATGAGCGTTTCCCCGGACAGCAAGTGGATCGCGAGCGGGTCAGAGGATAACACCATCATCCTCTGGGACCCGGATGGACAGCTGTGCCATGAATGGGTGGCTCACTACGGCGACGTCAATTCTCTCTTATTTTCCCCGGACAGCAGATTCCTCGCGTCTGCCAGCCACGACGGGAAGGTCGTCTTCTGGGATCTGAAACAGGATGCACGTCTAGTCGCAACAATCGCAGAGCACACGAATAAAGTCCTCAGTTGCGCCTGGTCTCCTGACGGTACCATGATCGCATCGGGGGGTGTCGACAGGACGGTCCGTCTCTGGGACACGAAGACATTCCAGCTGCTCCATCTCTGCGATGGCGGGCACGAGTTCTGGATTCGGTTTGTTCAATTCTCTCCCGACGGACGCTGGCTCGCTTCTAAAGGCGTGGATGACCACTACTGTATATGGGATGTCGCGTCAGGCACGCTGCACAAAGTCTTTCCGGGGCATAGGTATTGGCTCAATGCCGCCGCGTTTGACCCGGGGAGCACACGCCTCGCCACCACGTCGCGCGACCACACAGTGCGGATCTGGGATGTGGAGTCGGGGGAGCCGATCCTCGTCTTACAGCAGCATACAGAATGGGCATCGAATATGGAGTTCTCCCCGGACGGGAGCTTGTTGCTGTCTGCGACGTGGGACCAGACAGCAAACATCTGGGACGCATCCACTGGCGTCGTGATCATGTCACTGGACGGACACTCCAGTTTGGTCCATGCAGCGCGCTTCTCTCCATGTGGGAGGTACATCGCATCGGCATTCTGGGACAAGACGGTGCGGTTGTGGAGGACAAGTAATGGGTCGTGTATTGCGACGTTCTTCGAACATCAGGGACAGGTGTGGCACGTAGCGTTCTCCCCGGACGGCAAGACATTGTCGTCTGGAGCAGCCGATGGGACTGATTTCATCAGACGATTAGATCAAGTCATTGCAGACGAATTCTAGATCTAGTGTACATATGTCATCGTCTTGTACTAGGTGTCGCCCTTCTGTGTCCGTGTAGTATAGAGCCATGCATTCTGATTCTGTGACACGCTTCTGACGTTGTGTCATTGACATGAGTAGTATCGGTTACAAAAGGTTATGCGGCGGCGCAGGCATTCAGTCGGGGGGATATCGAGTACTGGCATGCCTTCCTTGTGACATGCGCTGCACGACACCCGAATCGAAAGGCGTGAAATGAGGGTACTAGTAGTCTTCCCATCTAATCAGCAGTCATGGTACCACTGACCGTCGGTAGTCACCTCCTCAAGCTTGTCGCGTGCCGATCTCTATGACAGGTTGGGTTGTTAGACTTGATTACCTGAAGTATTGAACTGGAGTTCTCTCCCTCCTTGCTCGCCCGGCGGAGAGTCTATTGCCAAGTCTCGGTCTGTCGCAGACCGATCCTGGTCAAAAGGCCGTAGTGGTCGCTCGCCCATCGACCGTCTGCTGTTGTCAGGCCCTTCCCGATCACCTTCACAGGCTCGACGACGAACCCAGGTGAGGGAGTGTAGAATACGCGGTCCATTCTCTTGGCGGCCCAACGCCCTGACCGAGGTTGGAACCCCCACGTGAGCGAGTCGGGCCCATCCGTGCCCGCATCACCCAGCCCAGCGGCGACGTGTATGTCTTGGTCCACAGGAAGGACCATGTTCATGTCGCCTCCCACCACTCCGGCATGTACTCCTGGAGCACGCAGGAGGTCCGCAGTCGCGCGCAGTTGGATCGGGCGAAAACGCACCTCGTCCGAGAGTGACTCCAGGTGAGTATTCGCGATGCGGATGACTTGTTTGGCGTAGTTAGGTTCATCGCCTGACAGCTGCAGCGACACGTCGACGAACACCGCAGTGCGGCCCATGACAGTCTTGCGGAAATGCAGCATCTGAGCGTTGTCGTAAGAGGTTTACATACCTCGTTGTAGGCTACTCCGACCTGCAGCTGGCGCGAGACAAGTGTGGAAATGCCGTACCGAGGCGGCCAGGGCCAGCTCTTCGTGTCAGGAGGAGTAATGGCGAAATGCTTTCGCACCCAGCTGTGCTCGAGAACACTGGCGAAGCTGAACTGATTCAGTTCCTGTAGTAGGATCACAGCCGACTGCAGCTCGTTTTCGAGCACGACGTCTCTGAGGTGGTCGAGTATGCAGGACACTCGACCGGCAGCGGCGACTTGTCCCTTGAAGTCAACGTTCCATGTCACGATTTCGATGTGAGAGGTAGCTTTGGAGGGAGTATGATACTCCGTCGTCCTACGCGATGCTTCGTGGGACCAAGCGTGGATTGGGAGGTTTCGCAGGATGCCGTGTTGCACGTCGGAAGTCTTTGTTGGACCGGTATATTCGCCCGGGTCGGAACAGGAGGAATAGGACCGTGATGGAAAGGCAGTAGGGGAACGAGCATGGCTTGACGTGTGGGAGAGGCGAGTTGAAGAGCCCACTAGACAAATTAGCCTATCCAACTGGCGAGTCAGAACGCGGG